GGAATACCGTCCAGTAATCAATCTGCGGGACCTGAATGTACACATTCCCTACCACCATTTCAAAATGGAAGGTATACACCTATTACGAGATCTTCTCCAACAAGGAGATTGGTTCTTCCATCTAGATCTCAAAGACGCATATCTGTCCGTCCCAGTGCACGATGACAGTCGTCCTTTCCTGAGACTCCTATGGAAAGGAACACCTTGGCAATTCACCTGCCTTCCATTTGGACTAAGCTCAGCACCATGGTGCTTTACAAAGATTGTGAAACCAGTGATGGCGCACCTTTGAGGATTGGGTATGCGATGCATAGTGTATCTAGACGACAGACTTCTGTTCAGTCAGATACGACAACAACTGGTGTCACAGACGGCATGCACTGTGAAGGTGTTCGAATCCCTGGGTTTCGTCGTAAACCGCACAAAGTCCGCAAAGACTCCAGCTCAATGTGTACAATTCCTGGGCTTCGACATCGACTCAAGGTCTTGTACACTTTGACTTCCAGAAACAAAGGTCTCAGCAATCCAAAAGGAGATTCTCAGGATCCTGAATAGGGAATCGATCCACCTCCGTATGTTGGCACGGATTGTGGGTCTCATATCCTCCTCCATTCAGTCGATCTTCCTGGGTCCACTGCATTATCGCGCCATGTAATGCCTGAAAGCACATTTCGTCAAACGAAATCCCACCTACGATGAGCCTGTGACGGAAGAAGTCCAACAGGAACTTTGATGGTGGCTCAATTGCATGCAAGCCTGGAAGGGACCGGCCATCTCCGACACACATCCGGAATTCATACTGGAATCGGACGCCAGCCGATGGGGTTGGGGCACCACTAATGGTGGAGTATGTTTGACGGACGAACTCACTCTCCATATCAACTCCCTGGAACTGTTGGCAGATGCCTTTATAATGCGGTGTCTAATGAAAGGCAAAACCTATTGCTGTATCCTACTGTGCATGGATGTCTGAAACATTGGCAGATCTGATGAAGGAAATCTGATGAAGGAAATCTCGAATACTGTCTTCCACGCAATTTAACATTGATGATGGAACATCTACCAGGGCATACCAACCTAACTGTGGAATGGTTCTCCTGGCACAGCCAATTGGAACCACGGATATTTGCGGAGCTGAACGAATGGAGAGGCCCATTTAAGGTAGACCTCTTTGTGTCTCGCACCAGCCACCAGCTGCCAAACTTCTACAGCTGGTTACTAGACCCAGAGAGTTCAGCAGTGGACTTCTTCCCACCCTTTGCTATGATCGCACGAGTACTCCACCACATCAGGATCCAAGTACTGACGGTTCTCCTGTTAACACCTTTATGGCCACATCAACCATGGTTCCCGAACCTCCTCCAAATGCCGCACTCTCCCTGTTACAGTAGCAATAAAACTGCAAAATATGAAGCCTCCTGTCATGTGATAAAATTGAAGATTATGCTAGTGTAGCGGATGGCATTGGGCTGTCCTCAGAATTATGTGTATTCGTATGTTTTCAGTTAATTTTTGCCATTTGTATGCAAAGTGTATGCAGCATTCGCCTGATTGTTCGGTAAAATCACTCCAGTTATTATGCGAGTGAAACTACCGAACAATCAGACCACCCCAGGAATAAGCGTGCCTCCAATTACCATTTGCAACAATGTTGCAAATGGGTAATTGGCAATCCGTGCAGTGTGTGCTTTGTCCTCTGGGTCCTCTGTCCTCTCCCGAACAGCGGTGTTTTGCCGTCGAGTGTCTGGAACCCAAATCGGACACTCGGCTAGGCAAACACCGCTGAGACCTCCACACTGCCGTCCCTTCGTGTAGCAACTACCGAACGGCTCCCCTTTCGGTAGAAAGAACCCCACGAACAAGGGGGTTTATCCAAATCCTCCCCAGTCTCCATAACCCAGGGAATTTTGTTCCCTTTTTCTGTGACCGACCGCAGTGCCAAAATGTATGGAACCCATTTCGGCTGTTAACCCCAGCGCGGTCGGTCTTTTTATTATCTCCAGGAATTTCCTGAACCCCTAGTCCAATCTGTAATATTTAAAGGGGTGCCCCTATGTTTAGGGGTACATCCAGAAAACCAGGGGAACTATGTCCTGCATAATGGGATTATGAGTCATACTAAGGGGAGGGGAAGTGTGGGTGGCACCTCATGTATGATTTGTGTATTGTATAATTACTGTAAATCCCTCCCTTGCATGGGAGAAAGCTTTAAAAGAAGGTTGAGTGATTAAAAGTTCAGCTCTGCTCCTGGTGTTGTGTGTCGTCCATTCATTGGGATTGATATTGGGATATTATTGGATTGTCTTGCCTGCTGTAATTATTGCCTTATGGATTTTTAATACTTGTTCCTGAGCCTCACTGGGAACTTGAGTGGAGATAACCTGTGGAATACCAGCTCTCCGCTACAGCTAGCTTTAGTGTACTAATAATCTTAATTTTATTAATGACAGTAGGCGAGTATTCCCCCTCCCCCCATGTCTTTCTTTTCCCTCTCTGGGATTTGGGGATTTAGGTTTTAGCTATGGCTCATATGGTTTGTCCTTGCCATGTTGTTTGTTGACTTTCACTGCCAAATGTATTCACATGTATGCTATGCATTTCTGGTGTATGTTTACTATTAACTATCATGCAGTATGCTATTGATGTGTTAGTCAGTGAGAATATGTTGGATATTCAGTACATTTAACAAGTAATATTGCTAGTTAGCCAGACTGTGGTTGCTCATGTTTTTCAAGGTATTTGCTATACCACTAAAACATTCTGGTCTCGTTTCAGCTTTATGCAACGCAACACAGCATTTGGATGTATTCATGAGAAGTAGTGATGTCCCGAACGGTTTGCCAAATGGTTCGCGAACGGTTCGCCACGGACTCATCATTGAGTAAACTTTGACCCTGTACCTCCCAGTCAGCAGACACATTCCAGCCAATCAGCAGCAGACCCTCCCTCCCAGACCCTCCCACCTCCTGGACAGCATCCATTTTACATTCATTGTGAAGCTGCATTCTTAGTGAGCTGTCCAGGAGGTGGAAGGATCTGGGAGGGAGGGTCTGTTGCTGATTGGAATGTGTCTGCTGACTGTGAGGTACAGGGTCAAAGTTTACTCAATGATGAGTCCGTGGCGAACCGTTCGCGGCGAACCGTTCGCTAACCGTTCGGGACATCACTAATGAGAAGATATTCTACATTCTGGCTGTCGTATGGATTTTATGAGGATAATCCTTATTTGTTAGAACTTGTTGGACGTTTCCTGATTCGGATTTATGATTCGTTTTGACTTGTGATGTTGCTATTTCAAGAGGAAGTGCATCAGTGGGAGGGGCTTATTATATACTATGCTTATCTCTTTGTTTTTTATGTTCTTTTCTGCTTCTGGAGTAGTAAAGGAAGTTTAAGCAAAATACTTGCCTCCTGTCATTATTAAAATTAAGATTATTAGTACACTAAAGCTAGCATAATCTTCAATTACAAAGATTTCATACAATTACTATATCAGATAACTGCATATGAACACTGACAAAAGTCTTTATGTCCATTGGAAAGAAAAAAAAAAGTTTTTTTTAAAAGTTAACAAAACCAGTATGATTAAAATATATATATATAATTGTTAAGAATGTTAATAGATCTCAAGGCACAGGATTCATATGTGGAAAATAAACAATGATATGCCAGTGCGTCAAGGCTTAGCATTAGACACCCGATGAATATAGCAGACACAAAAATGAAAGTATAATTAAATTAGTACACACATGTACTAATACTACTCCCTCTACCTTTCCAATTATTTAATCTGTTGATCCATGTTGAAATTTGAAATATAAATATTACATTAATAAAATGCACTTACAAAAAATAATTTTCTACCAAAACCAACCCAAATATCTATGTATGAGAAGCCTTTTCACTTTTTTTTGAATATATTTAAAAAAAGTTTTTTAATATTTAAATTTTAAAGTATACTAGACATTATCTATCTAAAAAGCATGTAATTGTTTAAAATAAACAAACAAAATGTAACTTATGTCTAAATTTTGTAGAAATTTGATATTTAAACAGGCGTTTTTATTTAGGAAACATTAGGGTTTTTTACATAATTCTGAAAAATAGTAAATTAAAGTTAGCATGTTAGCGTGTGTGTGCATATGTGCATGTTTAAATGTAATAAAGACGTCATCAGAGAAAAAGAGAGAAAGTGGAAGAGATGGGGTAAAAAAAGATTTTTATTTAGAGAAAAAGTATTTTTTAGAGTTTTAACTTAACTTTAATCTATTCTTGACCGCTTGATGCTGCAGGTGAGATGCATTGTCAGTAACAAGACATTGATTGAGAGAAGACTGGGATTGAGAGATAATGAGCAGATTTAAGGAGCAAGGCTTGCAGGAAGCAAGAAATAAGGCCAACAAATTAGAATAGACAAACATGACTAAAACTAAGAAAAATAGTTGAATTCCTTCTGTAAGTATGTTCTCTACTATGTCAAATTAAAAAAAAAAAAGATGATTCTCTTTAACTGGTTATTTTTACAAAAGACTTTGGTCATTTGTTTTGCCCATCACCGTACTTATGTCAGAGAAATGCTGGTTAAAGTGGAGATTACCCCCCTTACTAAGAGTGAATAAGAACGGGACATACACATACCTAATGGAATAGAGTGTAATCAAAGAGATTTGCACACACCCACAAAGAGGATAAAAAAAAAAAATTACATGAATTTAATTCTTTCTTTTTGTGGGCATAAAAGTCATACAGTTTCAGCATAGTATGCAAACAGTATAAGCGATAGTGCCCAATTTTTTAAAGTTGTGGTTAAAGAAAATCTAACAAATTGAGTAACATACATTGAGAATATGTTAAATTACAGAGTTTAAGCCATTCTCTAAAAACTCAGTAGAGTGCTTCTTTGAGTGTTGTGTTCAGCTGTGGTCAAAAAGTTGAGAAAAACACTCTATAAGCACAAGGCTTCTCCAGATTAGTTGGTGTTGATAGTTCTTGAAAGAAGATCAAGGTAGCATATTCAAATAGGTAGGAACTGTTTGGAATTGGAGGAATACATCCCTTGGGGAACCGGCTGGTGCTCTTGTCGCTTTAGGGATGCATAATACACTGTCCCCCATAGGCTGTTTGGCCTGCTGTGAGGTAAGTATGGTTACCAGCAGTCTTCTAAAGTAGTGCGGTGACTCCGTAGGGATGACGCTCTCAGGGATGTCCATGATTTTCAGGTGCCTGTGCCTGTCTTCCATGTCATCTAGGCTTTGCTCAAGCTGTTTTTGAGCTCTGTGAAGTTCAGTCGTTGTGGCCTCAAATGTGGTGTCATGTGCAGTATGGTCTTCTGTATTCTCCACTGCCTTCACAGGGCCCTCTTCAGCGTGAATCTCTTCTCGCACTATTGCGAGGTACGCGTCAAACAGCTGGCAAATGGTGCAGAGGAGAGCTTTGATGTCCCCTTTAGTTGAGGGCAGCTCATCGTCCTCATCAGAAAATGTGTGGTACAGTCCCCCTGTAATAGGGATCTCATCCAGTGTCTCTAGGGCCTGTTCCTCCAGGCCGACATATCTCCTTTTTCTTTTGGCGGGAATGTTTTAGGGGCCTTTGCAGAGCGGAGCAAAATATCCCCTATATCCTGGATGCGTTAGCGCTTTACTGGTCGTTGGCATCTGGAGTTCTTCCCCATACTAGTGAGTACCGTTTCTTGCTTTCTGGTGCAAAATTAGAGCATTTAAGTAGGCTAAAATACAATTTTTTTTGGTACTCCACTGCTAAACTTCTGCTCCGTTCAGCTGCTAGCTCCGCCTACCCTCATAAATGGTTTTTTTATTTGATAAACACCATATGTTGTGTTTTTGTTTTTTTTAAATGCAATGCAGGCTCTGCTATATAGGGGAAATCTATCCACTTTCTGACAAGCCTGCTTATGGACAAAGGAAATTGTCCAAGTTCTGAACCAAAACAAAACCTAGATCGTGAGCTGTGTGTTCAACTTTCATATTAAGTGCATCCACAATTATTATATATAATTTTGTTCAGGGGAAATAGGGCTTTCATTTCACATTAAATATTTATGTATATTTATATCTATGGAACACAACATAAAATGAATAAAATGAAAAAAAGAAATTAAGAAATGTAGTTATTCTCCAAGTTCTACATGGAATTTTGACTGTGAATGTCATAATTAGTGATGTACCGAACGGTTCGTTGGCGAACGGTTCCTGGCGAACATAGCATGTTCGCGTTCGCCACGGCGGGCGAACATATGCGCGGTTCAACCCGCCCCCTATTCGTCATCATTGAGTAAACTTTGACCCTGTACCTCACAGTCAGCAGACACATTCCAGCCAATTAGCAGCACACCCTCCCTAGCAGACCCTCCCACCTCCTGGAAGGCATCCATTTTAGATTCATTCTCAAGCTGCATGCTTTAGTAAGAGGAGGGAAAGTGTAGCTGCTGTTCATTAGATAGGGAAAAGCATAGCTAGGTTAGGGTTAGGGTATGCTTTTTTTTAAAAAAATTTCTATGTATGTAATTGCACTTAGTTGTCTGCCACTGCTGCCAGCTTCTGTGTCAGGCTCACAGTGCATACTGTGCCCATTTCCCCAGTCAGTGCCACCACTTATATCTGGTGTCACAATAGCTTGGATTTAAAAAAAAAACTTTTTTCACTGTTATAGATTGAATAGCAGTCAGTGTCCTTAAAGCTGGTGTGTTACGCTAACAGTGGATACGGTGACCAGTGCCACCACTTAGATCTGGTGTCACAATAGCTTGGATTTAAAAACAAAAAACTTTTTTCACTGTTATAGATTGAATAGCAGTTAGTTATCTTCAAGCAGGTGTGTCAGCCCTACAGCGTGTACTCTGCCAGTACGCTGCCACCTCCTCTACTCCTCCTACTCCATCCTCTTCCATAACCTCCTCGGCTTAGTCCTCTTCTGCTGCTGCGTCTTGCTCCACATCAACGGATAGGGGGCGTAACAGTGATTAAACTGATAACAATAGTACTAAACACACCACTCCTATCTGGTGGCACATTAGATTGCACGCGCAGTGCCCCAAATTTGTTGTGATCTGTGAGTAAGGTAAACGGTTGTCCATACAAGTAGGTTGCAGCTTTTTGAGGGCCCACACCACCGCTATGCACTCCTTTTCAATGGCAGTGAATATACTTCGCTGTGCAAAAGTTTACGGCTTAGATAAGCCCCGGGTTGCTAGCCACCATCTGCTCCGACTTGGCTCAATACTGCTCCCAATCCAAGCATAGAAGCGTCTGTATGGACGAGAAAGTGTTTAGTTGGATCAGGAGAAGAAAGTACAGGTGATTTAATGAGCGCCGTCTTGAGCTGTTGGAAGGCCTGTTCACACTCTGGGGCCCATACTACTATCTTGGGGAGGTTTTTACACGTTCCTATATGGCACTTACTGGGCTTTAGGGTCAGTCCGGACTCCCTAATCCGGTCTATTATGGCTCCTATGTGTAATTTTCCATGGGAGTTTTGCCATGGATCCCCCTCCGGCATGCCACAGTCCAGGTGTTAGTCCCCTTGAAACAACTTTTCCATCACTATTGTGGCCAGAAAGAGTCCCTGTGTGTTTTAAAATTCGCCTGCCCATTGAAGTCAATGGCGGTTCGGGCAGTTCGCCGGTTCGCGAACATTTGCGGAAGTTCGCGTTCGGCGTTCGCGAACCGAAAATTTCGGGTTCGCGACATCACTAGTCATAATACTATTGGCTTGCACTGCAATAAAACACATATATTTGTATGCTGTGATATCCCACAAGTGCAACGGTGCATCCCATGTACAGGTTGTATGGTATTTTGGAAAGCAACATGGTTAAATATGGAGCATGCCCCATTCAGTTATTACACATTGAAATTTGCCAGATTTGTTTGCTGGCCCTATCTTGCCTTTGAGACCGTATGGCAGCACAGGAATGAGAACAGTAGACAACCCATGGTATAAAAAATGGGGTATGACCAGCCTTTTTTTTAGTTGCCAAAGTTAGTGTTCATTTTTATTTTTTAATTTTTTTACAGAAAAACTGCACTTTTGCACTGATGATATCATTGTAGTTATATGTTTTACTGTTCTAAAATACTTATTTGTATTAAGCAATATCTCATAAATACGATAGTACCCCCATGTACAGGTTTTATGGGATTTGGAAAGTTACATGGTTAAATATAGGGCTTACATATTAAATTCTCTAGTATTTCTGCCAAGGTTGTCAGGCAGGTCTCCCAAATATAAAATTAATAAAATAATTATCTATAAATAATATCAAAATAAACCTAGAATTAAAATATATGCATAATTTCATTCTATGTGTAATTTAATTTTATAATTACATATATATAATTTCATTATAAATGTATCTTGATATTACTTATAGATAATTTTATATATATATATATATATATATATATATATAAACAGATAATTTTGTGCTTTTTTATTAGTTATATATTGGAGGATCTGCCTGACAACCCAGGCAGATCCCTGCAATCAGTCACTCTGATTCAAGTCATGTGATTTCTGTGTCATCGCGATCACATGACTCTGATCTTCGGGATTGGCTGCAAAGGGACTGCTTGGGTTGTCAGGCAGTCCCTCTAATTAAATCCATTGATGAGCGTGGGTATTTGGTCTGGAAGGAGGGCCTGATCATTAGGGAGTGCCATGATTAGTTTTGTCAAAGCCCTCCTTTTGTAGGATTGCATAGCATGCCATAACATCTGGAAGGAGTTGAAAAAAATTGGGAGGTATACGTTTATGCAAATAGTGAGACCTAAATTTCTGTTGGTCTCTCACCAAAACTAGGATACACTAATATATTTTGCCCCTTGAGTTGAAAATGTAATTTGTTGGAGACAGATGTGTTCTCCACCTGATACATGGATGTAGGATGTGCTCCAAATGCCCAATATATCACACATGATTTAAGCATGTTATCTTGCCCCCCCCCCCCCCAAGCTTATATGGTGGAGCTATGTTGCCATTTGATACCTTATGCCCCAATGACACTGTCAAAGATGGAGTTACACCTCTGGCAGCAATAGGGTTAAATTCCTGCATCTGCAGTGTTTCACAAGCTCCAGGCACCGTGACCACTTCAAATTATTGAAGTAGTCATGCTACGTAGAGTAACCCTTTAAAATCCTTATTTATTTAATACACAAAGTAATTGCATGAAGATAAAACAAATGGTTTGATGTGAGTTGCTTATGCGCAAATAAAATTGATTTATGATTAAATGCAAGCAAATATTTTATGTTCTAAAAACCACATTGGTCCCATTTTCCTGAACTTTGTAGAACAATGTTGCAAGCCCTTAGTTGTCAAATGTTATAGTTTATCTCAGCTGGTGGTGAAAACTACAACGTTGTTGTCAGAATTACACTTAAAAATCAATGGCTAACTTTTTGTGTTTGTTCTCAATAACATTTAATTCATTTGAAATGCTAAAATATGCTTGGTTTGATCTTAAAGAGCAGTAAATCAGTACAGCATTAGTAAATGTCAATGCCAACTTTTTCTAATTATATTGCTTTAAAGATTTACCCTATGTATGACACTCTAACGTTTAGGGTTTCTCCTTATTGAATGAGTTATAGTACCTGGAGTACCGTCCATACTTCCAAACAATGTGCCTCCATTTTTCCTTAGCCATACAAGTTCATACCAGGAAAAAGTGCCTGTGATAGGCTAAGAGCAGTCAGCTGACACTATCAACCAATCATCACCACCCACTGCTGTTCAAATTAATACTTCATTAGCTTAAACAGCACAGGTTGGGGGAAGGGGGCTGCAGGCAACTCTTGTTTAGCATTAAATCATTAAAAACAATTTAATACTGGCTAGGAGGATGGCGCCAGAGGACTACAGGCACTAAAACCACTTAAAACAGGCACTAAAACCATTAAGTAGTTACAGTGCCAACAGTGTCCCTTTAACTAATTTAGACACAGCATTTTAATTTGAAAAGGGAAGTTTTAGGCATATCCAGGAATTCGCAATATATATTAAACTAATGGATTCCAAGATACCTAAATGACAAAAACTGACTTTTGCCTAAAGTTACAAATGTCATAAGTTAAATCCCATATGTTAAAATAATCTTCAATCCACAAAAGTGCTTTTCCCAGCACAACTAATGAGGCCAAACTAACTGGAAGAGAACAGTGTGTAACAGTTCAGCAAGCCTGCAAGCTGGCTAACATTTCGTAATTACTGGCAAAATAAACTACTGATCCAAAACACAAAAGGCAGGTGAGAAATTTTGATTTCCTCTATTCTTGATGCTTATTTTTTCAGATCGCATCATTTCATTGCTTTTGTTTTAGAAAATATCTGAAACAGAGATTAGAGTGACATCCAATGGCAAGATTTAAATCCAAATAAACTTTTTATGTTGGGGGTTTACTTCTCACATAGGTCCAACTCATCCAAGCAAACTCGACATTATTAGATTGTTTTATGTGAAGCATAGCTCCATCAAGATTGCCACCTCATTGTTTTAAAGAGCAATTGCCATTAGAAAAAGGTTAAACTGCTTGTTTTCAGTC